CCAATCCCTTACAAAACCGGCATAAAAGAGAAGAACATAAAGAAGGAAGTGTTTCTTTTGTGTGCTTAATCAACTTTAAGCATTTTGTTATACATTATAAGTACATATGGGTCAAAACAGAAAAATATAATGTATTCCCAAACTCTAAGCTGTAACCGATGTTAGTAAACAGCTATTTTCACAAAAGTAGATTCTTGGTTAGTTTTGCTTGGTTTTACTGTGTAGAAAGCAGACAGTGGCCTTCTTATTGTATTGATGCTCCCCAAAATATATGAATATAAAGTTGAGTTAAAGCAAAAAAAATATATAGCTTTTTTTACTTTGCCTGAAATATGTGTTAGAGTAGCATGTTGGTGTACTATATAGAAAATTTAAGCTTCCACATCTTTAAGAATCACACAGTGATTACGGTAGTTGTGAGGACTGAATGAGTAATAACTTTGACTAGCATGCAATGATAGCATGTGCTTTTTGATGAACTCTCTATAATAATATGCTTAGAACTGTTTCAATTTAAAAAGGTGTGCAACTAACCAGTAGTGAATGTAGATGACTTGCTACTTGCAAATGAACAACCAGATGTTTAACTAAATGGAAGCTTTCACAAACCTCCACTGAGAAACTTGGAGTTAAAGTATTTTTTCTATTATAATTTACAAGCAGAATTGTGATATCATGGTTAATTTAATGGCTCAGAAGAACCAAATAGAAGTGGATCAGAAAAAAATGGTTATTCCTTTATAAGAAGGCTATTTCTAGCCATTTCTATAGCTCGACTAAATTCCAATTAATAAGTTTATTACAGATCTACTTAAAAAGCTAATCTATTGGCTAAGTGAATTGATAGTTTAATTAGAGCTACATTTGTGATTGGATCCATTAATAAAATAAATTGTTTATATTTCATAGGTCTGTCTAAACTTCTCAAAATATTATTTCATAACTGGGAAATACATGCACACACATACACACACATGTACACGCACACACATGCTTATAATCAAAGTTAAGACCTAAAGGTTCTTTGGGGCTATTGCTCTAAACTGAAACATAAATATGTTGTTCACATCTACTGGCAATATTAATTGATGTAATGCATTAACTACAATACAGAGGGAATGATCTGAAGTGGGTTATATAATTACATATATATAAGAAAATGCTGTCTATGTAAAAAATATTTCAACTAAATAAAATTGAGAACAGTGGTCTAAATAAGTTGGAAAGTTAAGAATTTTAAGGAAATAACATGATATAAAATTCTTATAAGAAGTAGATATTGAATAATTTATTGAATGTCACCTTCTCAAAATGCCTTTTACATGAACTTGATCTATTTCAGTGTTTTAATCATGGTGCATACCTTGATAGAATCATGACTGTTAGGTATTTCAATATATACTTATGTATGTATAATTTCTCCTCTTTATTAGGAAGTTAAAAAGAGAAAATGCTTCACATAGTTTAATTAGTAACAACTCATTATTCTGGTGGCGTTCTCTCGTCTTTTCTTGTTTTAGAGACCCTAAATTTGTCTTTGATAAAACTATGAGTGCTTAACACGAATGGAAAATATTATTACTTTTATATAATGTTGACAAAACAAGATTATAAATATTAAAAATATTTATTAAATAGTGAATTTAATTTTTAAAGCATGCATAGAAGAAGCAGATATCATAATTTGTCTTTTCCATGTCGTTCTTAGTGATTTGGATTCAACATCTTTGGTTCCCAAGCAGATAGTCAAAACTGCATCATTTGCAATTTAATTTTTATGATTATGTATATTTTGGATTAATAAAAGGGAAGCTCAAGGTGCCTATGAAACCCAAATTAAAAGGAAAATAAATGCAATACAGGGTAGCAATGGGTCAGCTCATGATTCCTTTGAAATTCTGAATATTTTTATATGAAAAAAATCAGGCAATTGCTCCAAAATATGCTGATAAATGTAGAAATGCCAGAAGGCTAATACCAGAAGCAACCTGTGTAACAAACCTACCAATATGACCCCAGATTTTAAATTAAGCAATAAACATTTCAGTGTTTCACGGGCACTAGTTGAAAAAAAATTTTAATAGATGCCTGAAGAACCATGACTTTGCAGGAGGTGACCTAAGCTACTTCCCTTGTCCTCCCACTAGAATGATGAGAGGCCAGGCCAGAGTCCACTATCCACCGAATCCATGGAGCTTGGGTGTCCATTGGAATCTATGATATCATAGCAGAATTCTGTGCCCTTGGCCAGGAATATAAAAAGAGCCACATCATAAACATGTGAAAAATATGAGTGAAATAAGGGCTTCTGTGTTCTTTTAAAATAAAGTATGAACCATTTAAGCAAATGTGTCTTGAGGGGATCAGTTATCCAAACCTGAGATAAATTCAAAATACAGAGATTCCCTGAAAAGACTACTAAATATTGATTGACACTTAAAAATCACTGAAGGTTAAAAAAACATTAAATGGTTATATTAATTTCATTTTTATATTTAAAAAACATAGGAGCATGGAAGGGAGAAAAGAAACAGTTACCGTCTTAGCACACTAGCGATTTCATAGGCAATTAAGCAACTCTTAGTGCTAAATTGATTTCTGTGTTCCATTTAGTTGTTTATTTTAAGTCTTTATAAGAATGAGATGTACTTTACTTTTTAACTCAGTTCTGTGGATATGATGTGAGTGGTAGTAACAGCCTTCCCATTGCATAACACATAGTAGGAGGTAAAAAATATTTGTTGAGCAATTAGCTGAATCAGAGCAGTAGCTATACAAAAATGAGATTTTATTTCCATACATGTACATGTATTTGTCTACATTTTGTATATTCTATAACCCATTACGTTAACGTACAACTAAATAAAATAAGCATAATGTTATGAACCAAAGAGAACACATACGATATTTAAAATGTTTTCCCCCAGAATAGTCATTTTAATATGCCACTTCTAATTTGTATTTTAAAGTGGTTTATGGAAGAGAGAATAACTGTGAAGACGATGGTTTTATAATTTAAAGTCCTTTTTCCATGGAGCAACCGCCTACTCTCCAGCAAGATCAAAGGCTCTCTTTGGTTTATCTAAACTTTAAAAGATTAAACAATTTGTGAAAAATTTACTGAGGTTAGAGAAATAATAGGAAATCCTGACCATAAAATTTAAACTGCCAGGATGTCATCAGGCTCAAATAAGATTTTAACAATTGAAACTAAAAATCAAATAACAATAATTGTAACTTTTCTGGTCAATCTACAATTAATTTTAATAAAATGGATGCCATCAAATGTAGGCTCAATCCTTTGCTGAAGGTGTAGACGAGTCTTTTCTTTTATCCTGCAGAAACAACCATCTACATATCTACATATTTTTAAATGTATGATTTATAGTCAGACGTTAAAGGGCCAGTGCAGAACTTATAAGGACAATATTTTTAAGGTGTCTAATAATGGCATATCATACAAAGCATTTTTATTGCTTGCTTTCAACACTGTGGACATTCCGGGACTATTGCACACTTCCCTAAACTACATAAAAGAGTTATGCTATATTTAAATGTGGAAGAAAATAGAATATCTCCCATTTCAATGTATACATAAAGTGCACATTTTAAAACTATTTAGATAAAAAATAAGGTGTTTCTGAAATGGGATTAAAGAAATACATTTATTGGCTCATATAATACTTTTCTTTTATTAAGGACTAGCGGCCCAATGCACGAAATTCATGCAAGAGTAGGCCTTCCTTCCCCCCCGGCTGCCAGCACCAGCTTCCCCCCTCTGAGGACCAGCACCCAGGACCCGGGCTTCCCTTGCAGCCCTGGCTTCATCCAGAAGGTCTTCTGGAAGGACATCCAGTCTAATTAGCATATTACGCTTTTGTTATTATAGATGATAGATTACATTTTGTGAGGGAATGTTTACTGTCAAGGCTGTCTTCAGGGTGAATTCTGTTAAACAGATGCATTTGTGACCTTGGTAATAAGATAACCATGCAAAGCACATAATAAAAACCACACTAAAACGAACAAAAAAAACCATTTTAGACTAGGCAAAGGGATAGCAGTTTTTGTGCCTTTGCTTACTTCCATAAGATAATCATTTTACTGATTTTATGAATGTATCTATTTATGCACTATTCTGAAATACTGTACAAAATTGCAAGAAATGCCACTATTTGACTACTGATGTTGCTACAAAAACACCATCATATCTACTAGTAAAAGTCAACTAATAACTGCTAATGTGTATGTGAATCAAAAGGATTTTAAGTTTGCCAAAAACATTGAATCCAGGCATAAGACACAATTGTTACCTTCTATTAACATTTTTGAGGGGCATAAAGAGCATTTTTTTAAATATTAGAAGAAAAATAAAATTCATCCATAAATAATTATATAAAGTAGAAAAATTTAGTTTTTAATTTAGCCACTTGTTTGTGTATGTGTTCTAAGGTAGCTAATTGTGTGTGTGTGTTATGTGTGTGCATATGAACTGATTTGCTATCTTGGTGATGCTTTAAAGTTGCAGTTTAAAAATGTTCAACTCTTACCAAAACCTCTCCCGGTATACAAAGCTGTTGTAAATTTGAGTCAGTGAAATTTAAAGTTGCAATTTACAAAAGCAGATTTACGTTGAATTCTTATCTGAAAGTGCTGCTTTCGAGACAGAAAAAAATGTGCCAACTCACTGCCCTTTCCATTGTAATTGGTGGCTTCTGAGTCCTGATGTGAAGAAGCCTTAAGGCAGAATTTGCAGTAAACAGGAAAGAAGAGAATCATGTAAGTGTTCACCTACATATCTATATTCTGTGACACCTGTGAGTTCTCAGTGGTGGGAGTTTCTGGCACAATTTTCTACTCCAATATGAAAGCTGCTCCACAGCAGCCAAACGGGGCGCTTTTTCCAGTCTCCAGCACCGAGAAAATTGAGCTGATCAATTTCAAAACAACACATACCTGGAAAGAGTAAGACACATTTTTATTTTACTTTTTCAAACAATTTAAGAGAGTTTCCAATGATTAAAATGACCATAAGGATTTCCATTATGACTTTCAAATAAACACTGATGCTAAAAATGTAATGACCATGGCATTCTGATAGTCACTAAATTCTAGGCATCCAGATCAGTGTTACTCGTAATTATTTGGGCTTGTCATGCTATAATATGTACATGGCTATAGATACTATAGAGAGGAATTAAAAGCTGATGTCAAATCTCTAAGTGTTCCTTCTAATGTGTGCTAAGCTTCCAATTATGCTAGGAGGGATTTTGACCACCCAAGAAGGGACTGAAGTTGCTGATATGAGGTTCTGTTATTTAGAAGAATTGATCCTGGAATTACAATGTTATCTTACATTACAGTTAAGCAACAGTAGAAAAACACTTCTATATAAGACCCAAGTCAAAAAAAAAGTTCATAAAGTGTGGTAGAGGGTCTCCAGTTTCATCGCTGTTACAAGAGGAAATAAATCAGGTCGTCTGAAATCCATCTTAAGCCAGTTCCTAGGGTAAGTCATGATTTGGGCACGAGGTACTTTCTGCCTACAGTTCCACGCAGTAGCAAATTCATGTCTCCTTGAAAGGTGTACGGTTAAGCTATATCGCTATATACATACTGTACATGTTGGTTCACCAATTAGCAGTTATTAGTCAGACTGTACAGAGCAAAACAAACCGAGCTTCATGGTGCTATCATCCCAAAGTTAACCTGTGCCTACACTCAAGGACTGACCCCTAAAACAGGTTCCCTGTTTAAATATGTAGCCCAGTAAACCAGATTAAAGGTACCAAACAAAACTGGGAAAACTATTCTAGACATTCTGTCGATTTTGCTAACACTGTTGAAGGTTTTCTTGGCTTCGGCTGGCTTGTTCTCAGGCTTCTTGTTGGGTTCTGGCGTGGCTGCGCTCTTGGAGATGGTGGAGAGAACTGGGTCTTTTGAAAGATTCGGGGCATAATTGGCAACAGCTACTGCATAGGCGTTGTTCTGGATCATGACAGAGGCTTTCTCTTTTTTCTATTGAAAAACACAAGAATTAACAGAATGTGGGTTGAGTCTGCTTCTTAACACTTTCCAAACTTCAGTTCAAATTGCGAAGAAGAGTATTTTGATAAACATCATTATCCACCAGAAATAAAGAATGTAGGGAAATAAATAAAAGAAGTTTATAAAGTCCTAAAACCATGAGGGTGAGGATACCCTCCGAATAAGATCAATGGTACCATTTTCCTGGAGAGCCATTTTTTGTTCCCACTGAAACAATAACATACAACTGTAATACATGACACAACAATTTTGACTACTATAAGTAACTCACATATTTGTTGAATGAGTGAGTGAGTGACTAAGTGAAATGCAAAAATATTTCAACAAGGGGAATGATCATCTATAATGAATGATTTCAGATTCTGAATAAAGAAATTTAATTTCTTTAACCTGATAGCAGGATTTCCTCCCTTCATGTCACACTCAAACAGCAGTGCTTTACTCAGATGGTAAAAAATTATAACGATATGCAGGTGGCAGTGTAATGAACACTAAAAACATAAGGAGGAAGATGAAATACAAACTTTTTATTTTATTTTTGCTAGCTTATCCACAACCTGTTTCTCCTCATAATCCCAGTTCAGCTCTCATGACTCTAGTCAGGGTCACTGTTAACTCCTGCCTGGATGAATGGATATTCCTGTATGCTCTCCCAGCCCAGTGGGACCTTGTCCAACCATTAGACACACTCTGGCCACTGGGATTTTTTTAAAAGACATAAATGGGATCATGTCACTCTTCTGCCTAAATCTCTTTAGTATTATATCTTGGAACTTGCAGTAAAATCAACATTTCTTACCAAGGCCTTTTTTCTTTTGCTTATTATATACCAGCTCATGAAAATAGCTTCCATTTTCAGAATATTTCCTTGTTTGGTGCCTCTGGCCCTGCTACTTCCGCAGCCTGGAATTCCTTCCATCCGTCCTGATTTTCACATGATCCATTCCCTCTCCAATGTGGATCTTGGTTGAGATGTCATTTCCTCAGAAAGGCATTTCTTAACAACTCTAACAGAGTCCTTGTTCCCATATAAGCTCTTTCATCACACTCAGCTTATTTTATCCCCATCATGGTATTTCTCACAATGTGTAAATTCCTTTTTCAGTTGTGCGATTATTTTATTGGCACATACTATGTAGCTGAATTAATGAAGCCAGAAAATATCAACAGTGTTTACCAGCATTTTTATATTAATATAAATGTTTTGTTAGTTATTAAAATGCAAATAAAATGGAGCCAGCAATGAATTACACAAAACAGTGAATAGTGTAAATCAACAGACTTAGAGAACCAATCGGCCTAGAATAGGATCAGTTATTTTGAATTAAAAATTCTCAAAATATTTTCGTAAACTAAGATCGGAAAGGGCCCCTGAAAGGCCAGGAGGTTCTGAAAACAGGATTGGATCCTCTGTCCTTCACTGGCATCTGGCTTTTCCCTCTCCTTTTCCCCGGATGAGACATTCTTCCAGGCCGGGCTGGAGTAGAAGAGGAAATGGGGCGAGGGAGTACGTTCTGTATCTTCATACGCAGTGAAAACATAGCCTTTCTTCAGTAGTGACACTTGTAGTTACCGTGTTATAAATGGACAGTGATGGTGAGTTGATAGCTAACACTCTCCCAGCACTAGTATGTGTCAGATTGAATGATAAGCCTAGGTGTCATCTGTGACAAACTTCACTACTGGGTAAGAAGTAAGTTCTACTACTAACCCCATGTTACAAATTCAGAAAGGGAGGCTAGAGAGGTTTCGTGACATGACCAGGCCTCGCGTTTATTAAATGGATGAAAAAGCACACAAACTTAGATGGGTGTGACTTCTAACCTCTGCTTTAAACACCATGCAATGTGAGTTCCACTCTGAGGAAGCTATTTGAAACTTGGAAGTACTCGTTACTAAAATAGTCCAATTTATGTTACTGGGTCAATTTTCGATAAGGACTCTTAACCCACAAAATATGTAACATATGGTGTTTATATTATTTCAACTACACCTAAGCATCATTTAAAATGACATCACATTTCATTTCTAGAGAATTGGGGCCTTGAGAATATTTCTTAACATCTCCCTTCTTCAGCTTCTAGTTTGATTAAAATGGAAGTAATTACACCAAATCCATATCGAACTTTTTGTGTGAACTAATGTAAGTATTTGAGCCACAATGAAACACATAGTATTCAGTGGAGAGTAGTGAGAGTCAGAATTCAATTACAAGCTAGATAATAATTACCGGTATATAAGATATTTAAAAATGTACTTTATATTTTTGGAAGAAAACATAAGCACTGTACAAAGGAGCTCAAGGAAGGTTTGGTGGAAGAGAGACATTTAAGTTGGGTTACGAATTATGGTGTGCGGTTTAGACTTTAGACAAAGAAGCATAACATATTAATGTTGCCTGCTCCAAGGGCAGCTACAGATAGAACTCAATACTAACTCTTACCAGCACCCTTTCTGCCCCCCTTCAATTGTAAGTAACTGCACAGGTGATACCAAAAATATGTAACAAACTCTAGAGCAGAGGCACTAACAAATCAGAACACCAGAATTCTCACTCATTGTTTCACTAGACTTCACCTACATAAGCCCACAAGTTTTTAAAACATGAAATATCCAGAAATGAATTAAGGTTACTTTCACTGCCAACCTAAATCTATATACCCTTCTGTATTCCCTAACCTGCGAATAACACCTCCAGAAAGCTAGGAACAGTAATCAACCCACAGGGGTCCCCTGTGTCAAGTACATTTTACCCAGACTCAGCTCAGAATCACATCTGTTAAGACATAAGTTAGTCCCCTGTAAATGTGCTTCCACAGCACCCCCGTGCTTGTCTCTATGTGGCATATCTTTGTTACATCTTCTTTTTCCCCTTCCACTTGATTGCAAGCTCCTTGGAGGCACAGACTATGCAATGCGGAGCTCCTAGCAGGCTCTAAAAATGTTTGCTTAATGGTAAATGAGTGGCAGGTACTAGGATGATGACTCTGATTTTATGTACATACATATACATATATAATATGTACAAACATTAGGTTTTTGTAGAATATAATCATTTTCATTAGATTAATAGAAACAGATTTCAATAGTTTATTCTACAATTCTATTATGTAATTCTCCTGAAATTCTCAATTTTACCATCTATAGATGTAGGAGACTGGGAAATCAAGAAATAAGCTCAACTGTAAAAACAATGTTTGTGGAAGTTGTTTTACTGGCGATTGAAACACATATAAGGGAGAAGGGGGATAATATGGCTTATGAACAAGATCAGTAAATGATGTATTTTTTACTCTAGTTGGGGAAAGTGTAAATTATACCACTATAAAAGTTGTTGATGTTGCTATCAAAGTGGAATGAAAAGAAAATATAACCAACATTAATTAAATTCTATTTTTAAAATGATATTTTATAGAATTCAGAATATTCTGAGCTTATTATTTTTTTGGAGTTCTGAATATATATTTAAAAACTCAAGTCTAGACATTTTCTGATTACAGAAATCGAAATGTCTTACACCAGAGTGGCTAACCAATCTTGGCTTCCTTATAGTACTAGGTAAAATAATGTGCTAATATCTTCAGCAATTGTTCTAGCTAAAATATAGACACCTACCGGCCTGACACATAAATAAAAAGAACCACCACATAGTTTTAGAGTTGGAAAGAATCTCAAACTTGTCCCGTAGAACAAGGAGCTTTTGTAAATATAACACTACATATAATAGACTTTGGAGTAAACACCACATCTCCATAGTGGTAACTCTACACTCGTTCTACATCCCATGTTGCGTTTTTACAGTCATTGTGGTGACTAGAGAGCCCATTACTTGTAAAACAACAACATGCTCCCTGGCCAGACAATGGTATTAGCTATCTGCTAACCCTCCTGACTAAGAAAAGTGATACTTACAGAAAATCCTTTGAAGGTTATACAGTCCATCCACTTCTCTAAGTACTCTAAAGTCTTTCCTTGGATTAAATTGGGCCATGAGAAAGCTATATATTTAGACCATATTAGCTTAGATCCTTGAAGAATTGCCTTCACTGAGTTGTATGTTAATGTAATGCCTTCAGTTTTTATTGAAGGGGACTACAAGAAACATCAATATGAAATTAATTACTGCGTTTATTGGAAAAAAATGTTGACATTACTACTTGCAACAGTACCCAGTTTTCCCTGATATAAAACCCATATGATGTTGTTTTAAAAAGAGAATTCAGTGTAAGAAAATCTTTATTTTTCTGAGGGAATTGATGCTTCCATATTTTGATGAAAGAAATATAACTACCTCCCCACCTCATGGTTTACTGTGGTAGCCAAGAAACTCAATTTGAAACTTAGTTACTCTACCTATGAACTACAGGTAATGTTTTGGCCCAATGGTGGACAAATTGTTAGTCTATTTTCCTTCATTGTGATGTCCTTCTTCTATTTATATATGATTTTATAATAATTTAAGTACATGCATTTTTCTGGTAAACTGCCTGAAATGCTTTTGGAACAAGGCAGGATGTTAAAAAAGAAAAGAAAAGAAAAGAAATAAAACAACAAAAAGACTTGAAAAGTGATGTTTTTCATGAGTTGTATGAAGTGAATCACAAAATAATGGCATGCCTCCTATTAGTTTGGGTATTATATTGCTATGTCTCTGCTTTAATAATTTAATATCTAGTTTATTTCCAGAGAATATGCTTTGCTTTGGACAGCATAGAACCACTGATAAAGGTTTAGAAATGGAAACCATCTCAACAGGTTAAAGTTAATTATTTTAAAATTTTATCTCAAATAAATTATGTGCTAAACAGTATGCAAGGAAATGGCAAAGAAAATGATGAATAAAACAAAACTCTTAGAGCATGTAACCTGCTGTCAGAAACAGATTTCTTTACAATAAATCTATAATTTGATGAGGTTACATAAAAGAATTTGTACGGGTCTGCAGAAACATTATGGCAATTAGATTTGTTTGGGCAGCTTCAAGATTTAAGTAAAATCAGATGGATCTTATGTAATAAGTTAGAGTTCATTGGTTAGGGAAGGGAGGCCAGGGCATTTCAGCCAAGGAGATCAGCACATCCTGGAGATGGGTAGAAGCATGATGCCTGAGATGTGTGTCATGGCTGGAGGAAGAATATGAGCATGGACTTTAGATTTCTGTTTAATATTGAGTCCACCATTTGTTAGATATGTGATCCTAAGCAAGTAACTTTATTTGCTAATCCTATATGTTCTCATTTCCAAAATGAAGATATTCCCAGGCACATAGTAGTAAGTGCCCAATAAAGAACAAACATTAATTTTCTTATTATTGATCATGCATTTAAATAGATGAGCAAACTATATACTTGGACCATATTAGCTTGGATGTTTGAAGGATTGCCTTCAACAATTCATTAAAGAAATGAAAAAGTAAACCAGTAGATTTCTGGTTTAGAAAGATAACTCTGGAACTAATTTAGAGGGTGGATTTGATGGAGATATGATTAAAGGTAATAAGAAATAAAGAGATTCAAACAAAAGAGAGATGGCAAGAGCATAGTCTATGACATGTAGTTTGGAGAATGGACACCATTTAATCATTGGTTAGATGTTAAGGGAAACTTCCAAGTTTTTGGTATGTGATACTAGGTTTTGCCATGAAATGAGGTTTACATGCAAAATAGACATGGGCAGGGGAAAGATATACAAATCAATTTAGGAGGTTTATTTTTGTTTGTTGTTTCTTTCATTTATAAAAGACATGTAAAGATTGAGATGTTATATTCAAGTATAAGTTGCCTAGGGAACAGGTTCGGTATGTGATCCTCGAAGTTAAAGGAGAGGCATGGACAATACTTATAGATAATTACCGTAGAAGGTAAGATAAAGGTGTGGTTGTCAATTTGATTTGTTCTACTTTGTTAATCCATTCCGTATTTATTGAGCAACAAATATATACAAAGCCCTATGCAAAGAGACAGGAAAAAATGATTTATTAAAATAAGCATGATCATTGTTATCATGAAGGAGCTGAGACATGAATATGCAATTACAGACTGTGATACTCTAATGCAAAAGAAGAGGGTACTAGACACACTTACAAAGGGATCTAATTATTTGAAGGGGGAGCAAGAAATCAGGAACTTCCTGAGGACTGGCATTTGTCCTGAGGAGGAACAGGGATTGTCTATTTCAGGACAACAAAGAGCTGGACAGTTTGCTTCGTGTGGCACATGTTCCTACAAATATTGTCAGTAAAACCCTTGAAGTGAGAACACATAGTGAATAGTAAAAACTAAAACAACAAAACATAAAGCCAAATGATGTCTGGGGATATACAAGAGCAGATGCTAGGGAGCCTGGATCCCTGCTGAACTCAGGCACAGAATCTCAAAGACTAGAATGAATAGTGGCGGCAGCCAGATTTTGAGGGAAGGAAGTTTATATCCAAGACTCTTTTTAAAAAATATGTATATTCTTATTGATTTCAGAGAGGAAGGGAGAGGGAGAGAGAGATAGAAACATCAATGATGAGAGAATCATTGATCGGCTGCCTCCTGCACACCCTCTACTGGGGATCGAGCCAGCAACCTGGGCATGTGCCCTTGATGGGAATCGAACCCGAGACCCTTAAGTCCACAGGCCGATGCTCTATTCACTCAGCCAAACTGGCTAGGGCTCCAAGACTCTTTTTAAAGAGGAAAAAAAGATGAAATGTTGCTGACGTGAGCCAGGAATGGAGTTCTGGAGTATAACAGTATTCAATGGGTTCCCCAATGGGGATCCATTGAGAAAAATGAAAATTATTATCTGATCTGAAAATGTGAAGGTTATTGGTCCCCTTCAGTTACAGAACAATAAATAGGAAGGGAATCAGATTACAGTAGGTTGAAAATTAAATTGAAAGTGAGAACATGGCACTGTAAACAATGCTTTCAAAAAGCTCAAATGGAGAAAAAGAGGGAAGAATCTGAGGATAGGGGAATGGGTGACCTAGGCTCTGGAGTTTTATTTCTGTATTTACGGTAAATTAAGCATAGTAAGCATCTTCATAAAGTGAGAGGAAAGAGGCATTTAAGAAGAAAATATGGCTTTGAATAAATAACAAAAAAATAATAATAATAACCATGGACCAAGGTTGAGAAAGGAGCAACAAATAAAGGGGATAAGCACTGGAGTGCAATAATTAGCCTCATGCCAGTGGAAGAGCATAGGACATAAGGGAAGGTTCTAGAAGAACTGAGACAGTTGCATAATAGGTACTTTTATATATGGAAGGATATAAAAATTTGGAGTTGGATCATTTGAACCAGCACTACATTTAGATGACGAGGCTTTGTTGTCTAATTTCACACCTGAGGCTAAAAGTGATGTAAAATTTTGACCAAGATCACAAAACAAGGTATGTTTTGTCTTCTAAGAAGAGCGCTCAAATGTAACTTGAATATGAATTGAGATTTATTTATTTAACTTTAAAGATCATCAGAGCACAATCTACAAGTACACTATATTAAATACACATTTCTTATTTTTAAACACATAACATTGATATATATGCCTCAGTGATTATTTTTTATGAGGCAAATTAATACTTGCCAGCTAACAAATTTTCAAGAAGTTTTCATATACTTTTCATATACTTTGGCAGATACCGTACTTTAGCTGCATTTGTTCATGATTATGAAAGCAGAGAACCACCAGTCTGATTAGAATGAAAGGACACTGATATGGTCTGTGGCTTAATACTATTTCCAGAAAATTATTCTTTTTCACTTAAAAAGTAATCTAAAGAAAACTAAAGCAGAGATAGACTGCACTGATTTTTTTAAAGGAAGATGGTAGGCTCCTCTACTTAATTTTCCTCCAGGTCTAAGGACATGGTTATTTCCAAGGTAATTTTAGGAAACACTTCCCAAAATTCATTTGGATCATGAAATTGGATTGAGTACCCATTGGTAAATTCACCAATGTAAAGTTTTGAAATTTTTCCATGAAGGAAAAGCATTTTTCTCATTAATATTGCATTGCCAGATTTAAAATCAGAAACTCATGTATTTTTTATTCAACAGAAGTTTCTGAAGTACCTGCTCTGTGCTTGGCACTCTAGCTCTGAATGAGTAAATAAAAACAAGCGATGTGCCTGATGTATTGTTCCCACTGAATTAACCCCTAAACTTAACCTCTGGGAACTGAAATAACAGAAACCTTATTAGTTGTTTTCTTGCATATTAGGTCGTAATATCAATTATTTGGACCTAGACTTGTTTTCATTATGTGTGATCTGATATGTGGGTATACTTAAATCCAGTATTCGTAACTCGTAGGTTATTGCATTTAAAATGCATTATTAAGAATGTATTTTTTGCATAAATAAGTACTTCTATTTTCCAAGTTCAGGGGTTTAGAAGGCATGTTATTTGATTTGCCAAATCACAATGCCAACTTGATTGGCACCCTCATAGCATTGAAATATAATATATCGATAAATTTCTGTATGGGACATTTATACCACAAACCACTGTTTACCATTTGTGACACACTCCCAAATAACTAACATTTTATCTTCAAAATTATGCTAGTATGAAAGTGCATATATAACTAATATAACTAAAAAGATGTAATTTCACAGATAACAATGAAAAAGCAGTATACTACATGGGGAATGAAAACATAAATCAACAATAAAACGTAATGGAAATGCTGAAATAACATGGAGGTTAAAATGAGAAAATTAATCAGGTTTCCTTTAATATTTACTCATTGGCTGTTAGTATGCAAAACACAGTTTATAAAATGAAATAAACCAGAGCTAATTAAAACTTCAACAGTTTACAAAATCAGGTTAAAAAGCAGGGCTTTTAAACTATTACATGTGTGTATGCTTAAACTGCAGTATGGTCATAGAAATTAGGAAAATTATTTATATTGAAATAAATGAAAAAAAGAAATCAGCAAGTATGTTATTTCAAATGTAATGGAAGAGCATTTAAGTAGATATATTACTAAAAAAAATCCTCCAACTAGAACTTTTTACTCTTGTTAAGAAAACTTTGTATCTCATTGTGGTATATCCAAAGCCTGCTATTAAGGAAGATGAGTAATAATCCATAGAATAAGAAAAACAAACAAACAGCTGGTATATCAATGTACAAACCCCCCACTAGCTTCCATACTGGAAACCAACAATCCCCAAAGATGTTAATCTTTAAAATAAGTAACTTTCTCTTATAGACTCCATGAGCAACTTAAACTTTCTAGACATTCCAGCACCTACCCACGTATTTCAGGCAACATGGGAGAGGGAACTATGATGCAAGCAACAGAAATGGGAGTAGGTGCACAGTAGTAACTCAATCCACTGATAGGGCCTGAAATTCTATAGTAGTTCAAGGTGATGCCCATTTTTCTTCCCAAATCTCTTCATTATGAATCACTGTGGTGTCAAGAGAGTCAACTTAACGACCAGACAGATTTGGGTTCAAGTATTCTTTTTCACTACCTGTGTGAGCTCTGGAAAGTAAGTAACTTCATTAAACCTTGGCTTTGTTGTCAGAGAAAAAATATAATTAAAAAGAGACTCTAGTTATAAAGTTGGTGTGAAGATTATACGATAGAGCTTATGTAGAAAAGCAGCACAGTTCCTGATACAGAGTCAGAGCTAACCAAATGCTAGGGTGAGGTTCTATGGGAAGTATTACTACTATAAGCACTCCTAAAGGATTTCAGGCAAGAGCACACTTCAAAATAAATCTGTATGGCATATGTATATATGTATTTATAAGCTATATCTGCCAGGTATTCTCTTAATCATGGTGAGAAGGAAGTTCTCACTTACCTTGTCATTTACTACACTCTTCCCATCCCAAGCCCATCCTCTTTTGGTGAAGTAATTAACAGTTGCAAATTCAATTAGGGCAGAGAACACAAATGCATAGCAAACAGCAATAAACCAGTCCATGGCAGTAGCATAAGCCACTTTGGGGAGAGAATTCCGAGCACTGATGCTTAGAGTTGTCATTGTTAGGACAGTTGTTACACCTGCAGAGGAAAAAAATAGAAACCAGAATCATCAACAGATCCTAGCTGGGAAGCATTATAATTAGTTTTTTTGTCTTTGTTTTCCAAAGCAACTTTCAGGGCCACATTTTTTTCACTGTAAAAATAAAATAAAACAAACAAACAAGGACAACAAAAAACTACTGGGAGAGATGACCCTGAAATGCTTTGTTTTCATTTTTGTTTGTCTGCATCCCTTTGTTCCTTTCTTCAGTACAGTTGGGGGTAAAAAGACTGGTGAGTCCGCAGTACAATTTCCTATGAGGAAAAGTCAGCACTTTAAATTGACCTACTATCCATTAATGTTATTTTTTTAAAATCCCACATTAAGTCTCACATTGATTTGTTCATCCTTTATTTGAACTATGTGAGGCAATGGACCAACCCCCCTCAGCGATGATTACAATGGAACTATTCTAAGTATGGCTGCCTCGTATGAAGTTAATTCTAGATTGCATAGCATCATAAGGACATAATTTCTTTCATAATGGAGTGTAAGACCTATAGACAATAAAACAAGCAACTAAACCAAAACCTTGTAAAATGTAAACTACTCCTTTTAAAGAATATTTTACATTTCTTTTTGTTTAGATAATAATCTTGTTCCCCTTGTGCACTGTTGTGGTCATTTTAAGCCAATAAAATATCATAGGAATTTCAAGATGAATGTGCAATGTTTCACCATATTCAAATCTTCCCCATCTCTGAACTGTATATGTATTTGTATTTACCTGATGTTGGAAACTTGATAATGGAATTGCTAATACTGATTATAAGTTCTTTCCTCCCTCCCTCCCTTCCTTTTTCTCTTTCCCCTGGAATGATAAGGTTCTCATAGGCCAGCGTCTCTGCTAGTTCAGCTCAGCCTGGCCCCACTGCACTGCAGACAGAGCTGGGAGTTAAATAAAGGGGCGCACTTACCTGGGACACACACAAAGCTTCCACATGCCTGTCTGTCTCCCAACAATGGACATTTTCCTATACCTGGGAGGACCTTCATAAATGTATGTTCCCCAAACATTTCTTTAACAGACTGCTTCTTCCCTTATCACTTCTGTGTGACTGCTATAAGGAAAAGCTTTTGGAGACGTTTATGTATCTTTTTCATAAAAAAATAGGCAAGTATCTTAAAGTGCTTTCAGCACTAAAATTCGATGTCTATTTGTGAACAATATATGACCATTCCCTGGACACAGGAAATGTCTAACATCAAGCTTTTTAATAAATATTCCATTGTTATTCTGTGTAGTATTTCTATTTCAAGGGGTAGGTGTCAAAAACAGCAACTCATGGTAGCTGAGCAAATAGTGTCCAAGTAAAGGAGTGACAGGTATTGGGTGAAGACATGCACTTAAAGGAGAAAATCAAATCAAGGCCGTGATTTCAGCATAGAGACAGACACTGTGGATGACACAGCCAATACCCGAGTTCTCATTTTGTGACCTTGGGGAGATTGCCTAACCCAGCGGTTCTCAACCTGTGGGTCACGACCCCTTTGGGGGTCGAATGACCCTTTCACAGGAGTTGCCTAAGACCATCGGAAAACACATATATCATTACATATTGTTTTTGTGATTAATTTGTAACAATGAAATTGGGGGTCACCACAACATGAGGAACTGTATTAAAGGGTCGCGGCATTAGGAAGGTTGAGAACCACTGCTAGCCTCTTTGTAAAGTGGGGATTACGAACAGTGTTTTCCCATAATGTTGTTAGAGCAACGATGGGCTACTGCATATAAAGCAGCGTCTCTATTGTAAAAAGAAACCTCAGTGCTTGTGTCAAAATAAAAATCACCCTGAAAGCAATGTCAAAACAGATTTAAGTCAAAAATTAAAATAAAATCCTCCTGTAGTCCTTTATCCCCATGAAATGCTTGTGTGGGAGTATTTGTGACTGGAGTGGGGGTGGGGGTGCAAGGTAGGAAGGAGAAGTCTTAGGCACAAAAACTGCAATAGAACAGAAATGTAAAATTGTTGGATACCACCTGCTGGTTACTGCCAGAAATGGCAGAAACAACAGGCATTCTAATAACATGTGGGGTTTTCTCCCTTCAGCCTAATGAACAAAGAAATAATACCTCCTTCCAAATAACAACAACAACAACAACAATAAAATAACATTTACAAATACAGTATAGATGCAGTATGAAACGCTGCATTTTATTTTACTTTATTTTTAAGGGTGTGGTTCTAATTCATAACTGTACTACATCTGAATGGTAAAAATGGTGAAACTTCTATGTGTTAAAGACAGAAACTAGAACTTGGATAACATATCTTTGTCATAAGACCTACTGAACTCAAACTTCACTAATTTAAAATGTGTGAGACTTTAGAAACAGTCTATATGATCTTGAAGAAAATGTTTGAAAGGATAATTATAGTGTGGATAAGACTATGAGGAATTACACATTTTTTTCTCTTTGCTTACCTGAATATGTCATGCATTTTAATAAATCCAAAACGCATACCCCTTTCCCCAAATTATGTTCTTCCTGAAATCCTTTTCCCAGAGAAAGGCCCCTGCAATCTAAATGAGGCCGTTTTCATACTCCAGGCTGAAGCTGTGAGACATGTATTACCTATCTGTCTGTTTCCTCTACCTAGAATCTTTTCCTTGTTACTCATTCCCTTTTTTATTTAGCTAACTTCAATTCCCTCTCTTGATAAATTATTGGGTACCTACTAGAGGCCAGGGCCATTTCTAGGCACTGGGAACACACCAATGAACAGAACAGTTAAGATCCCTGCACCAAAGTGGTGCACAGTCTATCAATGTCGTGGTACACACAGCTCAGTTGTTCCTTCTGCGGGATTTCTACCCTAAAGGCTCCTATGGCCTGGTCTTATGCATACCACTATCAGATCATGTCCATTTTGTTGTTGTTGTTGTTAATCTTCACCCAAGGATATTTTTCCCATTGATTTTTAGAGAGGGTGGAAGGGAGAGAGAGAAACACTGATGTGAGAGAGACACATCCATTGGTTGCCTCCCACATGTGCCCTGGCTGGGGCCAGGGATGGACTTGCAACCCAGCACATGTCCTTGACAAGGAATTGAACCCGAGACTCTTTGGTGTGTGGGGCTAACGCTCTAACCACTGAACACACTGGCCAGGGGAAATCATGTCCATTTTGAATTTTCTGTTGGTTTGCATGACTGTATACTCCCATGAAGTATATGGTTTATAGCCTCAGTGCCTTCTCCCCAAATTACAAAAGAACCATAGTAGCAGGTTAAAGGTCACTGAAGAGGTTTTAAATCAATTATGAAATATGTATTGAAATTACTCCCCCAGTGATCTGTAATTGATAACCACTGACCTAGTAGGATAATTGCAAGAATTCTCCTTCATTTATAAAGCGAGCGTGCATTATTCCGTCCGCATTCTGTGCTGGACTCTGTAGAACTATGAGTGAAAATGTGAGCAAAACCAAATAAGCTAAGACATATGCTTAAAAAACAAAACAAAAAAAGCACAGTGGAAACTAACATCACAACTAGGTAGTGTTGATAATGAACTGCAAGCAGGTCATCTACCTAGACTTCGATGTTGGGTTAGGCTTCCCTCAGGAAATAAGGGGAAAGTTTGTTCGAGGGGTCACCAGACAAGAGGAAATCACTAGACTTAGAAAAGAACATGCACCCTGACCGGTTTGGCTCAGTGGATAGAGCGTCGGCCTGCAGACTGAAGGGTCCCAGGTTCGATTCCAGTCAAGGGCATGTACCTTGGTTGCGGGCGCATCCCCAGTAGGGGGTGTGCAGGAGGCAGCTGATCGATGTTTTTCTCTCATTGATGTTTCTAACTCTCTATCCCTCTCCCTTCCTCTCTGTAAAAAATCAATAAAATATATTTTTTTAGAAAAGAACGTGCATGGAAGCCCAGGGACACGGGGAATGTGGCATTTCAGAGGAGTAGAAAGAGGCTTGCAAGGTAGGAAGGTAGCAGATAAGGGTTTCATGGAAGATGAGGCCAAAGGGGAGGCAGGAACCGGACTCTCAGAGCCTGTTACATTGTATCGAGGTGACAAGAGCAGTGGGAAACCATCACATACAGAGTTCATTTCAAACAGGGTAGCGACATAATCAGAGTTTCCTGTTTAAAAGATTACTTTGGCTGTTGTTCCTCTGTTGTTAAGGTGATTTGTTGTTTTTCTTCTCTTGTTTTTCTAACATTGTCTTTTTGCTTTTGGGTTACTGCATTTTGAATATGATATTCATTGACTTATTTGAGGCCTTCATAATTTCTTACCTGGATGATACCAATTACCTCTTAACTAGTTACTCTGCATCACTCATCCCATTTCAATTTATTTTCACAACATTCTCTATAAATAGTCTTCCCTAAACTCCATGCATCCATTTACCCTCTTGCTAAAACACCTTGCAAGCAGTTCCCATGGTTTTGGCATAGGATGTGAGCCTGTGCATGGCCTGGCCCCTGTCTGTCCGGCCACCCTTACACACAAATGACCCCCCTGACTGAGATCCACCACGCAGTGATTTGCTGTTCTCCACATGCTCCACGTTGCTTTTGATCATTTTGTAAGTCTTCTGTTTAGAACATTATGCTAATTTGCTAGGCTTGACTTGAGGCTTCTTATCTTTGGGCTTCTCTGACTTCCTCAGATATAACTGCTTCCTTCTGCTGCCCTTAGCTTATTTTGGAATATTTCTCTCCAGGGAACCTATGATCCTTCAATTCGTTTATTTATTTACACGTCTGTCTCACTCCTCCACACTGAGCAGCTGGTGGGCACATGGCTCATCAGACCTTTTTAAAATGCTGCCACCTAACTCATATTCTGGCAGCAGCAAACACTCATTACCTGTTGGTTCACCAAGTGAAGGGATTAATTTAAAAAAACTGAAAAGGAACACGGATGGATCATATTTACGGATTCGATAAAAAGGAATGCACAAGTTAAGAATCTAGTGAGCTTTAGAATGAAACAGAGGTTTAATCACATCACAATGT